GAGAACTGAGGCTCAAAAAGAGCAGCAAACTACCCTCGCCCCTTCCTTTTATCAGTGGCAGAACCAGGATTAGAACCTAAGTCATCTGAAATAACATCACCCCATGCACCAGGGGAATCAAGCCCAGGGCTGGCTCCTGCCCCGGGTTCTCCGTTCTGGCCCCAGAGGCTGAGCTACACCATCCCTTGTGGCACTTTGTTAATGAATACAAAGCTTCCTTGTATGGAGCTGCTGGTAGCCAGAGTTCTGCTTCTTTAAGGCAAGTGTTAATTAGAAAGGAGTACAGTGAATTGGGGAAAGCTCATGCACCCCCACTGCCCCTTTAAAATGGAATATTTGGATTAGAGCAAGATTTCTAAGAGGTTTCAGCATGTTTTACAGGGCCAGACAGAATTTTCAGTAACCGTTTATTTTCTTGCTCCATAGTTTAACTCCAAATCTCATTCCAGAGGATGCTGCTTCAGAGAGTAGCACGAACACTTGAGTGGAAAGAAAATTTAGGACTGAAGTCAAGGCCATCTCGTAAATGGGAAGGAAGTCAGTTCTTTGGGTTCACACGACTCTGCCGGAGTGCAAGAGCCTGGTCTGGACAACCCAGACTCATAACTTCTGCACTTTTAGCACCTATGAATCCCTTTAACTGCAGGTCAGGTGCTGCATTTTTGCAGCCTGGCAACTAATCAAGCCTGAAGGACATGCTACCACTTGTGAAAGCAGGGAGAACCAGTTAGACCAATAGGGCACATGCCCTGGAAAAGGCCACCCTTTCCGTGTGTCTGTGTTTCTCAACAGCAAGACAGAACATGGTTCAAACCTTTCAAACTCTGGCGTGAGAGGGCTGGATAAAAATTTAACATACATGCATCATTATGCAGGATGCAACCCAATCAGCCATGGTCAGAACAAGGCCGCATCACAGGCTTACCGTCGCGTTTCCTGTAGATGCCGGATAATGGCTTCCCCTGGCATTTGACCTCGTGATGTGCAACTGAGTTCTCTTCCTGAAGGGGGGAACGCATTCCAGAGCATTTGTTCGGGCTCATGTAGGTATAGATCTTTGATTGCCCGGTAAACACGTTCTCCTAAAACGACAAACGCATATTCTGAAAGAGGCTTCAAAAAGAAGAAGATCTCACAGCATTTAAGCAAAGAAGGGGCAATCAGGATACAATCCACAAAAAAACAGACAACGTCGCTCAAAAACTGGGCTACCAGGGGAAGCCAGGCCCAGTAGAGCAGTGGAGGGTCTAGAATTCCCCCCCCCCCCCCCGTCCAAGTCGGTCTCTAATTCCAGTCGCTGAGGCGGGGCGTCTGGCCAGGGGGAGAACCAGTTGTCCACAAAGGTCTATATGAGAAGGAGGTAACCCACCAGTCTCCGGGAGGTCAGAACAAGCAGGGTAAACAAGGCTGGGATCTGAAGGGCCGGCCTCTGCGCAGGAGCTGACTGCCCTGGCAGGAGTTTCTAGCACAGAGACAGGTCTCAGAGAACCTGACTGACCACTTCTCGGTGGTGAGGTCAGCCGGTAGGACTTGCCATTACTGTCCCAGCCTTCTGTGTGCCCAAGCCAGGCCCCCCTTAAATCCTCCCAGGGCTGCGGACTGGACTGTGGTTTTGATAATTCTCGTCGGCTAACTGGGGACTGCAGAGCTAGTGAAAGCAACGCCTAGGGCCAGCGCGTTTAGGGCGGTCGCTATTGCGGTGGGCAGGCAGGTGGGGCGGTACAGGTCACTGCCGGTGTCTCTGGGTGTGGGGCCTCTCCTCTGAGTAAGTGCAGACCGGAGGAGGGCTTTCCCAGAAACACTGCTGGGCCTTTCTGCCTGGTGAGCCATTGAACACCAAGTCAGCGAGACCCGTGACCTCCTTGAGGGCCCCGGGCAGGCCCCGCACACTCTGGGAAGGCAGCCACCGGGGTGGCTGGGTCTCGGGGCATGGAAATGCCATAAAGACACAAACTTTTCCGAGGTCGAACATTGCCAGGGTCATGGCGGAGCGAGTGTGGACGCCACTCCCAGGCAGGCAGCAGAAAAGGAAGCTGCCCGGCCGGGCGCCCCGCCCGCACCCCGCCCGTCCGACGACGTCGCCAACGGACGACGACCAGGGAGTAGG